TTTTTTTTTCCAAAAAACTATTTCTGGCCTTTCGCTGTTACAGAATTAGTAGGGATAATTTTTCTTTAGGATTTTAGACATTGCAGCTTGGAAAGTTTAGAAGGATTTGAAGGCAAGATTTATAGAGCCATGATTCTAGAAGATTCGAGAAATATGTGACTAAATGAAAAATGTCTCCATGGTATCAACAGGTAATGGATGTATTTTACAGAAAGTTAGCCATGAATTTCTTCCTTTTTGGAGAACGTCTTGAAGAACAATGAAAATATAATATTTTAATATTTTACTTCTGATACTAGAATCTTAACATGTTTATCTTCCCTTTATTTTCTCTACTTTTCACTAGACACAAGCATGGAAAATATCAAAAATGCTTCTAATTTTATCACATGGGCAGGCATTATAAAAAGCGATTTTTTTATTAATAAAGAAATTGAAAACTTACAATTTAAAAGATTAATCTAATATATCTTAATGCACCATACACATAGCTGGCACTAGACATTTTCCCACTTGATGCAATCTCTGAGGATCCTTAATTCTGTTGCTTAGTGCCTTTCTAAATGCTTCCAATACCAGCTCTAAATTCTAAAAGTTTTGCCATTTCTAGATTTTGTTGTTTGGTGTGTCATTCAATTCTAAAAGTTTGGCTCATCAGCTCTGTAACTGGCCTTTACCATATACATTTCATATTTCTTCTGAATATTCATAATACTAAAGAAATAAAATTAGCCACTTTTTCTGTACATTCTAAATGCATTTAGTGTTTTTTGGTATGACAGAAATCCTTAATCAAATCCAAAAATTCTAAAATCAAAAGGAAACATGTTGAAGAAAGAAACGGAATACACAAAGAAAATTATTCTTCGAAGATATGTGCAGTTATTATTATGTAAATTACCCAATTGTTTATGATTTCAGCCTTTGGTATAATTTCCATTTCCTAATATGATAAGAGTTACTAAGCCAGATTAAATTTAAATTAAATTGTATAATCTTTGACCACTAGTTCACATTTTTAGTTTGAATTTGATTGTTCTTGTTTAATTACATCACCATGAGCTGTAATTGATTTTCCTAGCATCAGAACATGCCTTTATGTTTTAAGTTCTTTTTAAATAAGAGGCTTATTTAAACCTGTGTCTGATACTGCAGTTACTTTCAGACATAGTGATAATATGCTTCACATCTGTTGGGGGTTTTGGACTATTTAACTTTTGCCAGATCAAGTAAACCCTCATAGGTACATTGTGGAGAGGTTGACAGGTTAAAAGATAAAGCACTCAGAAACTAGCAAGAGCATTGTTTTGTATATTGAGACAAATCTCTAATTGTTAGAAAAGATAAGATGCTTAAAGAGAAGGAAATCAATATAAACTAGCCAAAATGTCTGGGAAGGCTTCAAATTAAAATGACGGATAAATATTTTATTGAGTGTTGTTGTTACAAAACATAAATGTTTTGTAGCTTTTATTGTGTAATTATCCTAATATCGTTTAAGAATCAATGTCATAAATTACATGTATTTTAAACTTTGAAATTTTATTAGATTTTGAGTTGAATAGGGCTTTTTTATCAAATATTCTTAAAAAATAAATACAATTTAATAATGGCTATGTAAATACATAATTACTAAGGTTATCTAACTACCTAAATTAATTGTTTATAACTGTTTACCCTTAAAAATTATCTCTACATATTATTAATGAAAGGCAAGTTATTGCCTTTCATTAATACTCACTGTGGTCACAAGGTTAAATACAAAGATGTAAAAATATAAGTAAAACTTATTCTTTGCATCTAGTAAGACTTAAAATAATACAAAGCAACTCTGGTGCTTTAATGGCTTATTGGAACCTAGGTTACTACCCCTGGAACTCTACATGAAGTTACGACAGTAACTGCATCAAAAAGAGGCTGACTGACTTGCGAACCATGCCTACCTCAGGCCTTTCAGGTTTGTTTGAATCAGGAGGTCTCTCTCTAGACAAGCAGCAGTGGCGACAACATTCAGTCTTTTGTTATGAATCATGCTGATTATGATCTTACTTCTTATTTTAACTTATGCCGTTTGACACAAAATCTACCTGCTATTTACAAAACCTCTAGACTGACCAAGTATGTGATAAAATGAGGCATAAAAAAATCAACATAAAGCTAACTGTTAGTAAAACGTAAATGTTACTTATCTTCTTTCAAATATGTCCAACTATTATAAGTGTAAAACATTTGCCACTTGATAAATTGCATAAAGTTTATTTTATTCTCAAAACATATTAATAATTATGTTAATTATTTCATGTTAATGCATACTATGTAGGGATTTATTTTATTTTTAGGATGGTATTACAAAAGTGAAATTCAGGCATAGATTATATTTTTAATTGAATTTATTCAGTTGCCATTTGCTCATAGGACCTTAATTTCTTTCATCAATGGTCCTTAAAAGTACTTAATTTCCACGTGCAGAAATGTGTATGAACCCTGTGTGTGATCTATAGTTGTTGATTCTGATGTTAAGATTATTTTTAGTTTATCTAATGTAAACAAGATTGCAAGTTACAAGTAATAGAGAATATATAATTAAAAGTTTTTCAAATGATTGTTTTTGAATATATTCATCCATCAGGTAATTTGATGTTATTTATCAAATTTTGCATTTTTGCTTCTGTAGTAAAAGTATTTCTAACTATTTTGAGTTTTATCAGTTTTAAATTCGCAGTTTACCTTAATACATTTTGGGATTTACTTTGTTTCTTTCTTGTTACAGATATTAAGAACTTACTCCTCTGCCTGTAATTTATATATTTTTTTTATATTTCTTACATCAAATTGGATTAGTTCTGTTTTTCATGTTTCTGGACTTCATCCACTCATATTAAAAATTTGTGTTAGATTTTTTAAGCTTTTTTAAATTTGTTTGTTTATGAATTATGCTTTTATTATTTAATCCAGCCTGTGTGTTTTCAAAATTTGCATTTATCTTTGTTTTTTTCTAATTTTGAATTAAAAAAAATATTTTAAAAATTACTTGTTATTTTAGAATTACCTTGAATTTATTCTTTTTTTTTTTTTTTTTTTTTTTTTTCTGCAATTTTTGCACTGCCTACTTCAGCCTGTAGGAGTTGGACTGATAAAGAGACAGATTACTTTTATTGTTTTTCAAAAGTTATTGTTTTTCTGAGATTATTTAAAAAAATTTTATTTGTGTCCTTGTCAGTTCAAGAACAGGCTCTTTTATTTATTTACTTCTTTCATTGCACCAACCCGCTGATAGTGACGCAGTGAAAGATGCGAGTATCGTTTTCAGTGTTTAGTTTTGGCATGTTTTGCCCCCTATTTCTTGATGTTTGCCACTATACTTCTGCTTTTTTGGGGTTTTTTTTTTTTTTTTTTTTTTTTTTTTTTTTTTTTTTTTTCATGTGTTTATTCTAAATTAAGTATGGGATAGGTTTTAAATAGTTTTTTTTTTTTTTTTTTTTTTTTTTCCATCATTACCACTACTTATTGCTGTATTGCTGCTATCAGCACACAATAGATTAGACTTTTAGCTATTTTTTACTTCGTATTTATATGTTTTAGCCCAGCAGCGGCTGAGCTGTAAAATCACTGAACACTGCTAGTTCCCACATGGCCTTCCTTAGGTGAAGGCTTTAATGTATAGATTCACATGATGACATAATGGAGATAGATTTCACCAAAAGAAAAAAGCCATTTATTCGTGGACATTCTCGATCAGCATAAACATGTTTATGTATCATTTTGTAAATGATGTAATATCTGAAGCAGAGAAATGCACAGCATACAAGTAAGTAGTGCATATTCAGTTGCTGGATTATTTATAAATTCTTTTAAATTCTGGACTGGAATTTAGGGCTTAGCACACTGCAGTTTATATGATGTAGATTTGTTTTCCGGAAAAAGAACTTGGCAAAATTAAAATCAGGAGTTAAAAGGAGTATTTGTATATTAAAGTTAGTAATTTTCTTTCATATTTTATATATTAATATATATGTGTGTGTGTGTGTGTGTGTAAGATAGAAAAAATCTATGTAATTGGAACAAGAGCCTAAACTGAAAATTGTGTAAATGAAATGAAAAGATAAATATTATTATTTGCCCCAAAAGGCTGTTAGTTTCAGAACACAGTTTTACATTCCTTCATTTTTCATTCGAGTCTGCCATTTGGGAAAATGCGAGCTATTCATCTTTCATATTGAATCTGTAATTGATTAACAAATTAAGCCCATATAAAATCAATAAAGGCAGTTCTTGAGAATATTGTAATTTTTACCTTTTAATTGGATTGGTTTAAATAAAAATGCATTTAATTCACAATATATCTAAATAAAAACATTTTGGGCGACCATTAAAATTCCAAATGCTTTCAGATTTTTAATTTTTATAAACATGCTTTTGAATCTTAAAAATGGAGCATTGGTTTCTTTTATCATTAGCATAAAAGGTAAAATTTAACTGGAATCGTAAAAAAGGCTCCCATTCTTCTATTAAATGCTATTATCCACCTCTGGGAACATAAAATCCCAGAAATAAGTTTTTGATTTATTAATATTAGTATTTACTACTAAGCAAATCTGTATAAAAGGTAAGGTAGTATATAATAATAAAATCGTAACAACACACTTTTTTCAAAAAATAATTGTCTAATAGGATCATTCCTTTAACTTCCTTGCACTGAATTATTTTAAGCACATCCATAAACTATAATGTATGCTAATGCATTATAGTAATGGAATAGATATTCCAAAATAATTTCAAAATTGCACTCTATTTGCCATAGACCTGTCACACATTTTTTAATGTAGTGTAATATTTTGTCACCATATTCACTGAAAGTGCATAGTATTTTGAGTTTCCTTTAATAGTATTATTTGTAATAGAATATTTCATTATTTTATATATTTAAATTTTGATGTACCTTGCTTTTGAAATCAAAATTGTTACTGTTTTTCAAACTGATTTTTCTAACTTTTTTACAGGGTAGAAGAAAAAACATAAAAAATAATATGACAAAATCTGTTAAAAGAAAAAAGAAATTAGTACTTCTTAAAAGTAGTGAATTGGAAAGCAATGTGGATGATAGGCAGTCCCTAAAAGATTCAAACTTTATTGCTGATCAGGGAATTAATTCTCAAATTAGGGATGGAAATTTATTATCAGATGTTGAACTGGAGCCCAGTGGCAGTAAATCAGCACAGTATTGCAGTGAAAAGTTAGAAGTGGATAGTGAGAATGGTGATCTGCATTTTGAAATGGGATCCTTTAGAAAGAGCTCATATGTGTATACTGGTCCAGTATGGTTAAAGACTGAAAAATATTCAGATAAATACTCAAGTTTGAAATTAGCAGACTTGAATTGTGAAGAAGAATCAAGTTCAGATGCAGAGCGATGCCCAAGAAATATTGTTGATATGAAGTTCCAAGAATATTTGGAATTTTCATTACCTTTTGAAGGAACTTTTAATTCTTTTAGCAATGTAATGTGGGATGGCGAGTCACAAGAATCTTTACAAACAACAGGGCCTCCAAAGAAGCATTTATGTGAAACATTGATTGATGGAATTCTTCACCCTATCTATGATGAAATGTTTATTTACCCTTTGAAAGGAAAAACAGAATTAAGAAACAGAATAACATGGCAGAAAAAGAAGCATCTTATCGAGCTTTATAAAAGTCAACTGGAAAATGGGGAAATTTGCATTTCAAATTTACTTGATTCAGAAAATGATATAAATCATGAACTGCTTTATGATATTCTCACATCAGATATCAAAGTGTGATAAGAAAATAATTTTAGACTTCTTTATTTGTATATTACCAGGATGCTATATATGGTAGTTTAACAGTAAAATTCGTGAAATTTTATCAGTTGCTATGCGAGAATCAAAGACAGAATTCCTGTTAATTAATAATAAAGTTAGATTTAATTTTGATTTTTGTTACACTGTGGAATAATCTAGAATTTAAAATTGTTTCTCATATATTAAAAATGTATTTGAAGGTGATTTGTACATTTATTTATGAACTGCACCCAGTGAGCATATTGTGAGATATTATTATGTATTTTAATAATAATTTTTAAATAATTTAATAATTAATACATAATTAAGTGAGAAATATATATTATCTTATTCAGTTCCTTTTCATATTTTGAAAAATTAAATTAATGGAATACAGCAGATTTAGTCAACTTTATTTTAGTAAATTTTTCAAAAATATTACTTAGTTTTTAATTTTGGCTTTTGTATCAAAATCATAGTTTCTCATAGAAAAAGAGCTTAAAATTTTAGCCTTTGATAATCAGAAATTAAAATAGAGTAAAATATTCAAGTAAAACATAATCCACATTTGAAGCTTAAATTTTTATATTATGCTAATTGCTGTGCTAAATTTTTTTTCTATGTTAATTTTATTTAAAGTTATATGCAATTCTGTAATTAGCAGCAAGCTATAATTTTGAATGGATATTTAAAATAAAATTTGATTATTGTTTATAAATTAATTATTTTTTATTTCCAATGGCAGATTAGAAGACAATTGTAGTCAGAAATACAAACAGAAGAAACAAGTAATAAAACTAAAACTACAGTAAGTCTATAAAATCTTTCATCTTGTGCCGAGCTCTCCAATATTTCTCCCACAAGTGTCCTGATTCCGGTGCAAGGCACAGACTCATGGTTCTCATCCGTTTCCTCACAAATGTTGCACAATTGGCAAAGAATACTTGGAGGTACTTTTATATGATATAGATACTTGGAGAGGCAATCATGGCCAGTGGCAAGGTGAAAAGTGACGACAGATGTGTCCCTTGGCTATAGTGGAATATTTGTGATTTTCTCAGTCCATTTCTTCTCTTTGTTTGCCTCTTTGATATTATTCCAATAGTCCTCTCTAACATATTTTTTTTTTAATTAACTGTTTGGTCATATGACAAGGAATTGGTTTATCTGTTATTTGAGCAATTTTGGTTGCCTTCTTTGCCAGGGAGTCAGCCATTTCATTACCTTGGAGTCCACAGTGTGCTGGTACCCACTGCAAAGCAACTTTTTTGTGGTTTTCGATTAAATCATTGAGGCTCAGGTAAATATTTAAAATATCAGCTGAAATTGCAGCTTCAGATAGCATTTTGGAATTAAGATTTTGGAGAATTTTTGGAAGAACAACGAAAACATAATGTTTGAATGTTGTACTTCTGATACTAAAAGTCTTTTTCTTAACATGTTTATATTCCCTTTATTTTTTCAACTTTTCACTAGACACAAGTATGAAAAATATCAAAAATGTTTCTAATCTTTTCACATGGACAGGCATTTATAAAAAAAGAATTTTTCTCTTGATAAAGAAATTGAAAACTGACAATTTAAAAGATTCACCTTATATGTCTCATTGGATTATACACAGGATTGACACAGCATTCACCACCTGATGCAATGTGAATCCTAATTCTGTCCCACTGCGTATAAATCTGAAAGTTTTTGCAATTCTAGATTTTGGTTGTTCGGATTGTACTAATTCTAAAAATTCTGCCTCATGGCCCTTAACACATTACTATCATATTTCATATTGTCAGCTTTTTTAATTCTAAATGCTTTGGTTTTTAGAAAACAAAATCTTGAATAGATTCTAAGTGAAGAGAAAAAATTGAAGAAGCAGTTGAATGCATAAGAAGAAAAATTATTCTCGATGTTATTAAATTATTATTATGTAATTAACAGGGTTTAATTAGCCTTTACTATAGTTTCCTTTTCTTTTCCTCACCATAATGCAAATCAATCGTTTTTTAGCATGAGGTTTTGGGCTGAAAACAGAGTGTTTTGCCTCCCACTTGGATGTTGTATTAGTTCTGCAGCTCTATATTGAATTATTCTCTTTGCGTATTGTGTAACATTTGAATTTGTTACGGCATATAGTATGAGCCACTGATTAAAATTAAATTTTGTAGTCTTTGACTGCTGTTTTACATTTTTAATTTGAATTTGACTGTTCCTGTTTAATTGCATCACCACAAGCTGTAGTTGATTTTGTCAACATAGGAACATACCTGTATGTTCTAAGTTCTTTTTAAATAAAAGGTTTATTTAAAACTTAATGTGACTTTGTAGTTACTTTCAGACATAGCAATAGTTTGCTTCATGTCTATGAGAGATTTTGGACTACTTAACTTTTATCAGACCAAGTAAAACCTCGTTACATACACTGTTAAGACACTAGTAAATTAGAAGATAAGGCACACAGAAACTAGTAGGAACGTTGGCTTGTGTATTGATATTAGGAAAGATGTTTAAAGAGAAGAAAATTGATCTAAATTAAACCAAAATGTCTGGAAAGGCTTCAAATTAAGAAAACACATAAATAATTTGTTATGTATTGTTGCTACAAAACGTAAATGTTTTGTGGCTTTTAATGTAGAATTACCCTAATACCGTTTAAGACATTGATTTAAAACTGACAATGTAAAGTTACATGCATTTTAAACTGTGAAATGTTATTAGATAGTAATTTTATTAGTGCTTTTTCAACAATGTTTTTAAAAAATAAATAAAATTTAATAGTGGTCATGTAATATATAATGATTAAGGATATTTACCTACCTAATTAATTATGTAGCCCAAAGGGCCAAGGCGGTAAAGTAAACGAACATGGAGTTCGGTCCGAGGTTCGAATCCCAGGATGGGCAGGGCGTTTTCGTGGTTTTCCCCAGTGTAATGTGATAGAGCCATTTCCTTAGAAGTCTCCCGAAGGCATTCCCCTTAGCCCTCGACCCGGCTTTGCATATCCACACACACATAATTATTGTAACCTAACCGCCTCCCTTTAATTTTTGCATTAAAGCAGTTATTGCCTTCAAATCTTATGAGGTCCAAAAACAGCCAAATAATGTACAAAATTAATGTAAAACTTATTCTTTGCATATACTGAGACTTAAAATAATACAAAACTTATCACTTCTGATGCATTAGTGGTTTATTGGAACCTTAAAATATATTAACTAGGTTACAATGCCAGGAACTCTACATGAAGCTATAACACTAACTACATCAGACAGATGGAGCAAAACTAACTTTCAAAACTTGCCAAATTCAAAATTACCTCAGGCTTTTAGGTTTGTTCTGATCAATAGATTCTCTCTAGTTAAGCAGCAGCACTGGCAACAGCCAATCTTCTGTTACGAATTATGCTGATTATGACTTTATTTCTCATTTTAACTTATGCCATTTTACATAAAATCTACCTACTATTTACTAAACCTCTAGACTAATTACATGGCAAAATGAGACATAATAGAAAAAATCAACATAAAGCTAACTGCTAGTAAAACGTAAATAAAATGTCCCTAATCTTCTTTCAAACTATTACTTATTTGAAACTAGGTCCAAATATTGTATGTGTAAAATATTTAATGCTTCCTGATAAATTTTATAAAGTGGATTTTATTCTCAAATTTGTTTTATAGTTATGTTTATTAAATTATGTTTAATAAGAATGCGTCCTACTTACGGATCTATTTTATTCTTAGAGAATTATTACAAAAATGGAGTTCAGACATAAGTTGATTGAATTTTAATTGAAGTTATTCAGCTCCCATTTGCTGATAGATCCTTAATTTTTTCCATTAATGGTCCTTAGAAGTACTTAATTTCTATGTGCAGAAATGTGTACGAACCCTGCACGATGACAGAGGGGTATTTCACAGCGGAAAACAATCTAGTAGTCTAGTAGTCTTTCCCATAAAATTAGTGCCTGCTTTTCGATTACTAATGTAATACTCATATGTTGGGGTTAGATATCAAAAGTGCATCAGTCGGAGTTGTCTTAACCGCTCCTGTGATGAGACGAAGGGCTTGGGAATGGAATTTTCCCAAGGTATCAGTAACTTGCCTAACCTGCCGCCACCAAAGTCTCGAAACAGCAAGTAATAAGTGGCAAAATATAGGAATTATAGGTCAGGTCAAAGGGTTGTTCTGCAGTATCTCCACTTAGAGCCAGCAATTCTTCTCAGTAAAGTAAGTCTCTTAGTAGCTCTTTTATTAGCAATATATTTGTAACATCCTCTTTCCATGTCAGTTTATGGTAAAAAATGACACCCAAATAAGAGAAGTGGTTGGTCTGAAGACTAGGGAGGTTTTGGTAAAATAAATCCAGCTTGATCGGTGGTGTGTGAGGGAAAAAGTTTGATATAAAATGTTTTCTAGATTTACTTCCATATTATTAACATGACAAAAATCGCTGAATTTATTTAGAGCCTGATTTAAAGGAATTTCAGATTGTAATACATATAGCCTGTTTTTGGGGATTTTTAGTCTAGATCAGGGGTCTCCAAACTTTCCAGCCTTAGGGCCATACTGATTACTCCAGTAAGTTCCGAGGGCCAAAACCATATTATCATTGTTGCCGGTGGTAAAAAGTGAAATAGTCCACTGATGAAAAAAAAAGTCCGAAAAAGTACGCAACGTTTTATTAATTTTCCTGTCATTATCTGTAATTTCTAGATTAGTCGTAGAGTACGAGCCATGAGGAGTAACGTGACACGACATCTGGTGGACACAAGCGGAAATAGGTAGTACCTTCTATCGCTAAACAGATGGCGCTAATAGCACGTACAGAAGTCTTCCTATGACACTGTTGTGAAATAAAAATAGTGCGTACCTCCTTAAAACGTTGTTTGGTGCGTGTTTAAGACATCTTTGTAACAGTATTTTGATTTGAATTGTTGCTTTTGTGCATGATTAGTAGTATGGAAAAGAAGCGAAAAATTGATAGTGAATGCAGAAAATCAAAGATCAGTGGAACATTCAGTATTTCGTAATTGAGTCCAGTAACAAGGCGCTATGTTTGATTTGCAATGAAAGCATAGCCGTTCTCAAAGAATATAACATTAAACGTCATTATGAAACAAAACATTTTCAAAAATTACTCAAAATATACAGGAGTTTGCGGACAGAAAAATTCGAAGCTATGAAGCACGGATAGAAATCGCAGCAATCTTCATTTACAAAACTCAAAAACTGAACAAGAGGCTGCAACTCGTGATAGCTTTCGTGTGGCTCTTGAAATTGCAAAACGTGGAAAACCATTCACCGATGGAGAAATGATCAAAGAATGCATAATTGCAGTAGCCAAAGAAATATGCCCTGAAAAGGTAAATTTATTAATTAAAAACTGTCAGTATGTCAGCAAACACTGTGGCTCGAAGGGTAGAAAACATCGCTGAAAATATATCCTCTCAACTGTTCGACAAAAATGGACATGTTGAGTGGTTTTTTTGGCCTTGGATGAGTCAACGGATGTGTCAGATACTGCTCAGATGTTGATTTATATTCGAGGAGTAGATAAAAGCTATGAAGTGCATGAAGAACTTCTTGATATGTATAGTATTCATGGCCAACTACTGGTACAGATATTTTTAAAGGAGTTGAAATGGCCATTAATCAAAGAACCTTCGATGGAAAAAACTTGAAATGTATTACAACTGATGGAGGCAAAAACCTGAGTGGGAAAGATAAAGGAGTGGTCGCTCTTGTGTCAAAGGCTGTAGAAAATGACGGTGGTTCAAAACCATTAGTCTTACATTGTATCATTTATCAACAGTCTTTGTGTGGAAAATGTTTGGATATGTCTGAAGTTCTGAAACCAGTCATATCAACTGTTAATTTTATCAGATCTTTTGGGCTGAATCACCGACAATTCCGACAATTATTGAAGAGATTGGAGAAAATGACTTACCTTATCATACTGCCGTACGTTGGCTTAGTTGTGGGAAAAGTCCTTCAGTGCTTTTTTGAACTTCGAACAGTGATCGAAATTTTTTTTGAATGAAAAGCATCGCCCTCTTACTGAATTACAAAACAACGCATGGCTGTGGAAGTTAGCATTCTATGTTGATTTGACAAAACATGTGAACGAACAGAATTTGAGATTGCAAGGAGAAAACAGCATCTTCCTGATTTATACACTAATATCAAATCATTCCGGAAGAAATTGATACTGTTTCAATCACAACTACGAAGTAAATGTTTTTCACATTTTTAAAACATGTGAAATATTCAGCCACACCACTGAGACTGAGTTTCCTATCGATTTTGCAATCGAAACTTTGAGTGCTTTGAAAATAAATTTTGATACTCGTTTCTCGGACTTTGATGCCATTGCGAATCAAATTAAGATTTTTCAGAATCCTTTTGATACTGACATTGAAACCCTAGCCCCGGAACTTCAAATGGAAATGATTGATCTACAGTGCAGTGATATAATTTAGGAACAAATATCAAAACTCATCTTTGTTGGAATTTATAAGTCTTCCACTGACACAATTTGATAATTTGCATAAATTTGCTCGTGGGCTGTTTTCTGTTTTTGGTACTACTTAATTGTGTGAGAAGACCTTCTCCAAAATGAAGTACACAAAAATGTTTTACAGATCTAAAT